AGCCAATCAGAGGCCATCAAAGAAAAAGAGTTTTCCCGCCTAAAACGGTAAGTTTGCCTGGACACAGTCTTCATCCAATCGAATTCAAGCTAGTTTTCCCGCCTTAAACGGTAAGTCTGCCTGGATACTGTGTTAACCAATCACCTGTCAGGAGGAAAGCAGAAAAAACAAACAAGATGGGGGAAAAAGAACTACAAGTCACTGCAGATCCATGAGGGGGGGGGGCTCACCTAGGGTTCGTTCATTCCCCCTTTTCATTACACTTAGAACTCGGCAGAGCCGACGTAATATCACGGCGGCTCCGCCGAGTTCTCAGTGCGTAATGTCAGTTCAGCGCCCCCTGGTTACCTAGTGACCAGTCATGACTGAACTGTCATGAGAGCTTAGCAGAGCCGGCGGTGATATCAAAGCCGGCTCTGCTAAGCTCTGCTAAGCTCTCATGGTAATGACAGAACAGTGTCCCCTGGTTACTAGGTAACCAGGGGACGCTGATCTGTCATTACCATGAGAGCTTAGTGGAGCCGGCTTTGATATCACTGCCGGCCCTGCTAAGCTCTCATTGTAATGGCAGCTGGTCCCGGGCAATAGAAAACAGTTGGGCGGAGTTAGCTGTCACTGCAAGCTCCGCCCAATCGTTTTCTATTTTTTTTGTCTACTTTATAAACTGTTTTTCTATTCTGCTCGGTACCACAGAGGTACCGAGCTGATCCTAGACAAGCACTTGCTGGCTGCAAATAGGTAAATATGGAATTATACATGCAACATTTTATGTTACCTGCCCAACATTTATCGTGACAAAAATAATGAAAAAGTATAGAAAATACTGTAATTTCTGATTCCTGTCCATGTTTAGACTGTAAGACATCACATGGCAAAGGATTTTTTAAAACGAAACTCGGCTGGGATTGCAACATTCGGCGATAAGGGGAAGTGAGGAGAGTGCCAGGAAATGAACAGTACGACACTTCTCTAATTCTGCTGAAGAATAAATTTAAATAAATATATCATAACTTTATTAAAGATCACTCAACCAAACAAATAACTAGTGCTTGGCTAGAAAAGCCCAAGCACACCAATCATAACAAAGTAATTCATTTTCAAAATATCCCCCTCAATGAGGTGACGTACCACATAAACAAATGCCACGACAAGCGAAGCAAGGGTGGGATGGGGGGAAGCTCATCTGGAAAACAGCTGACAAAGGTGATGGGGGTCACAACGGCTCCTGTTTAGAAAGGGGTCTTCAGCCAATCAGAGGCCATCAAAGAAAAAGAGTTTTCCCGCCTAAAACGGTAAGTTTGCCTGGACACAGTCTTCATCCAATCGAATTCAAGCTAGTTTTCCCGCCTTAAACGGTAAGTCTGCCTGGATACTGTGTTAACCAATCACCTGTCAGGAGGAAAGCAGAAAAAACAAACAAGATGGGGGAAAAAGAACTACAAGTCACTGCAGATCCATGAGGGGGGGGGGCTCACCTAGGGTTCGTTCATTCCCCCTTTTCATTACACTTAGAACTCGGCAGAGCCGACGTAATATCACGGCGGCTCCGCCGAGTTCTCAGTGCGTAATGTCAGTTCAGCGCCCCCTGGTTACCTAGTGACCAGTCATGACTGAACTGTCATGAGAGCTTAGCAGAGCCGGCGGTGATATCAAAGCCGGCTCTGCTAAGCTCTGCTAAGCTCTCATGGTAATGACAGAACAGTGTCCCCTGGTTACTAGGTAACCAGGGGACGCTGATCTGTCATTACCATGAGAGCTTAGTGGAGCCGGCTTTGATATCACTGCCGGCCCTGCTAAGCTCTCATTGTAATGGCAGCTGGTCCCGGGCAATAGAAAACAGTTGGGCGGAGTTAGCTGTCACTGCAAGCTCCGCCCAATCGTTTTCTATTTTTTTTGTCTACTTTATAAACTGTTTTTCTATTCTGCTCGGTACCACAGAGGTACCGAGCTGATCCTAGACAAGCACTTGCTGGCTGCAAATAGGTAAATATGGAATTATACATGCAACATTTTATGTTACCTGCCCAACATTTATCGTGACAAAAATAATGAAAAAGTATAGAAAATACTGTAATTTCTGATTCCTGTCCATGTTTAGACTGTAAGACATCACATGGCAAAGGATTTTTTAAAACGAAACTCGGCTGGGATTGCAACATTCGGCGATAAGGGGAAGTGAGGAGAGTGCCAGGAAATGAACAGTACGACACTTCTCTAATTCTGCTGACACACAATGCGTCTCTCTTTCTGTTGAATGCTCAGATACGGGACACATCCAACAGTTCACACCAGTCTTTCACAATCTTTTTACCATAGAGGAGCCCTTAAAAAAGGGTCTCAAACCTCCGGCCCTCCAGCTGTGGTGAAACTACAAATCCCATGATGCATCTCTCTCCGGGAGTCATGTCTGTGGCTGTGAGAATCTTGCAATGCCTCATGGGATTTGTATAACTCTCAGGTCTCAGAGAGCCCCTGCCAATAACTGGTATGGGCACAGCTCGTGGCACATTAGTGTGAACCAATTGAGATATCAGTGAGTTGAGATATAAGACAAACAGAATTAACAATGTGTTGTAGTTAATGTATGTGACACCCAGGGCTGTTTTGTACCACAAAACTATTTTCAGCAATAATAATAAAATGCAACAAATAATGGTAAGAAAAGAAATGTGTACAGTAAACACTGAAGTACCTCCTTAGATTCATGGTGACCTGTATAGTGGCTCAACACATTGGTGATAAGTTTAGTACCCCCTTGACACTGGTGGTCAGTGTAATGCTCCCTTACCATTGGTCGTCAATCGAGTGTTTCCTTGACATTGGTGGTCAGTGCGGTGCCCCCTTCAAATTGGTGGTTAGTGTAGAGCCCTCGACATTGATGATCAGTGTAGTGCCCCCTTGGCATTTATGGTTAGCGTAATCCTCCCTTGACAATTGTTTTTTGTAGTGGTTCCTTGACATTGGTCGTCAGTGTAATGCTCCCTTGAAAATGGTGGTCAGTGTAATGCTCCCTTGACATTGATGGTTAATGTAGTGCCTCTTTAACATTGGTGGTCAGTGTAGTGCCCCCTTGACACTGGTGGTTAGTGTAGAGCCCTCTTGAGACTGGTGGTCAGTGTAGTGCTCCCTTGCCATTGATGGTTAATGTATTGCCTCCATGACATTGGTGATCAGTATAGTGCCCCCTTGACATTGATGATTAATGTTGTGCCCCCCTTGACATTGATGGTTGGTGCAGTGCCCCCTAGACATTGGTGATCATTGTAGTGCCCCCTTGACATTGATGATTAATGTTGTGCCCCCCTTGACATTGATGATTAATGTTGTGCCCCCCTTGACATTGATGATTAATGTTGTGCCCCCCTTGACATTGATGATTAATGTTGTGCCCCCCTTGACATTGATGATTAATGTTGTGCCCCCCTTGACATTGATGATTAATGTTGTGCCCCCCTTGACATTGATGATTAATGTTGTGCCCCCCTTGACATTGATGATTAATGTTGTGCCCCCCTTGACATTGATGATTAATGTTGTGCCCCCCTTGACATTGATGATTAATGTTGTGCCCCCCTTGACATTGATGATTAATGTTGTGCCCCCCTTGACATTGATGATTAATGTTGTGCCCCCCTTGACATTGATGATTAATGTTGTGCCCCCCTTGACATTGATGATTAATGTTGTGCCCCCCTTGACATTGATGATTAATGTTGTGCCCCCCTTGACATTGATGATTAATGTTGTGCCCCCCTTGACATTGATGATTAATGTTGTGCCCCCCTTGACATTGATGATTAATGTTGTGCCCCCCTTGACATTGATGATTAATGTTGTGCCCCCCTTGACATTGATGATTAATGTTGTGCCCCCCTTGACATTGATGATTAATGTTGTGCCCCCCTTGACATTGATGATTAATGTTGTGCCCCCCTTGACATTGATGATTAATGTTGTGCCCCCCTTGACATTGATGATTAATGTTGTGCCCCCCTTGACATTGATGATTAATGTTGTGCCCCCCTTGACATTGATGATTAATGTTGTGCCCCCCTTGACATTGATGATTAATGTTGTGCCCCCCTTGACATTGATGATTAATGTTGTGTCCCCCTTAACATTGATGGTTGGTGCAGTGCCCCCTAGACATTGGTGATCACTGTAATGCTCTCTTGACATTGATGATTAATGTTGTGCCCCCCTTGACATTGATGATTAATGTTGTGTCCCCCTTGACATTGATGATTAATGTTGTGCCCCCCTTGACATTGATGATTAATGTTGTGCCCCCCTTGACATTGATGATTAATGTTGTGTCCCCCTTAACATTGATGGTTGGTGCAGTGCCCCCTAGACATTGGTGATCACTGTAATGCTCCCTTGATATTGGTGGTCAGTGTAGAGCCCCCTTGACACTTGTGTTCAGTGTAGTGTCCCTTATCATTGGTGGTCAGTGGAGAAGGGAACCTGTAGATTGCTGATAAGTTGGGGAAGGACCCCCTAACATTGGTGTCCATTGAGAAATGAGCACCCTTACACTCACTGCAGGTTAGAAGTAATAGGTGGGAGCCTGTGATAGGTCCACTACATATTTGGTGCATTGGGCTAATATTGGATGGTATGAGCAGGTATGCTAATACTGTTTTATCACTACAGGTTGTGCTCCCACACTTCAGAACTTCCATCAATTTTTTAAGAATGACCACAGCTGACTAACACTGATGAAGTCCATCAACAGTAATGATTATAGGCCTGTCTCTAAATGCCATAACAACTGTTGCATGGTAACCATTTTCACTTCACTTGTTTATATACAGGCCTTATTATACTTTCTTAATGCAAATCAGTAGAGTGATAATCACGTGATACCACAAATCTTCACTGTGGACCTTTATGTGTCTCTTTATTCATCTTTTCCCTAACCTTCTTTCTGTTGTACTAACAAGACATCATATTTCTCATTATACTTAGACATGGCTGCAAGACCAACCGGTGAGGGGATGGCTGACTACTCCATTCGGAAATACAACAACAAGGATTACCATGCCGTTCGTAAATTGTTTGCCCAAGGAATGTTAGATTACATCCCCAGCACTGCCTCATACGTGTTGAAGCTCCCACAAGTCTACTGCACCATCTTGGCTTCATCCATCACATTGCAGCTGTATTATGGGTCCTACGCCCTCTCTCTGTTCAGCGTTGGGACATTCTTGGCTGCAATCCGTGGCCTTTTATCATTAGCAATTAACATGTTTATAAAGAAGTGTCACAATGGAGATTTGCTAAACATCGAAGAGTCTTATATTCAGAGACCCAACTCCTGTTTCTGGGTAGTCGAGTCCTGTGGTCGGATCGTAGGGATGGTGGGCGTCCAGCCTGCACCAAACTCCAACAGCGACATGATACTACGACGCCTGTCTGTGTCTAAAGACCATCAACGCCAAGGGATCGCCAGGGCTCTGTGCATGGCAGTTCTTGACTTTGCTCGCCAGCGAGGATACCAGTGTGTCACTTTAGATTCATCGACCATGCAAGTAGCGGCTCATAAACTGTACCAACGGTTGGGTTTCAGGACAACAAAAGTAATACCAAGCAGGAGTCGACTAGGAAGGTTTGCAAATATGTCTGTGGTGTACTACAGCTATGAGGTCTAGATGTGATAATAAAAGAGAGGGGCGGTTATTGTGAGGACATGGGTGGAAGATGAAATGGGAATAATGTTAAAGGAGAACTATGGGGTCAGGGCTTTTCCCCATAGTTCTCCTAAGGGCAACGGGAGGACACAAACTAGCGTCCTCCCGTCACCCAAAGCTCAGTATATTGCGAGCTACAGCTTGCGGTATACTGAGACCGACGCAGCCGGGACAGATCCCGACATTACTGTCTGTATCCACCCAGCTGCATGATTGACAGCTGGCTCTGTCTATCCAGAGGCAGAGCCAGCTGTACCCGCCCCCTGACCCTGTCCGTTCCGCCAGTCAGCGCTGGAGGATCAGACACGGGAGGGGGGGAATCCATGCAGGGAGCCATGAGTGACAGTCACGGCTCTCTGCAGGGACAGGATCGAGAAGTGAGCGAGCGACGGTATGTGTTCGCTCACTTCCCGATCTTTTGAGCCGACGTGTGACAGTTTCATTGTCACACGTCGGCTCGAACTATGAGGATGAGTGATTTTCACTCACCTCATAGTTCTCCTTTAAAGACAAAGAGGAAAAACAACACTCCAAAATAGATACATGTTGCAATACGATCATACAATGTGATTAGATAGACAGAGAGTGGGGCTGAGGTCATCATATCAGCTCTTTGCATCACTGAGAACCATCCACCACTGGGAATAGACCTAAAAAGGAAGAGGACCCTGCGTTAAGTAATTGGCCTAAAAACATTGGAAAAAGGAAAAAATAAATCCAAGGAGGCCCCCAGACGGAGTGTGGATCACTGACGGGGGAAGGGGATTAAGTCCAGAATGGACTTTTCATGCCAATTACTTAACATAGGATCCTTCCTCTTTAGGTCTGTTCTCATTGGTGGATGGTCCCCAGTGATGCAGAGAGATGATGTGATGGTTTCAGCTCTACATCATTACACAGTAAGTGCACAGCACCATGGTTACAGGTGGCAGGCCCACAACTCTCTGCACTCGTAGTATGTCCTCAGCAGTGATGTGCGGTGAGGCATTGCCAAGCCTTGCCCCTAGACCGCCCATATCACGTTGTAGCTCCAGCCCGATGAAGCCCCGTCCCAACCCGGTCCCCAAGCTAGTGTGAAGGAAGGAGGGAGGGAGGGAGGGAGGAGGAAGGTAGGAGACAGGGAGGAGCCTCCCTGTCTCTCACTTGCTCGTCACTGCTGAGGCATCGAGTTCGATGGTCTCAGTGTTTTTTTTTTCTTTTTTTGATTGGACATCTTGGACCAATGGCGCTTTGCATACTCCCCTGCATACTCCCTGGAGTATGGGAGGAAACTGGAGTACCTGGAGGAAACCCACGCACACACAGGGAGAACATGGAAACTCCTTATAGATAGTTACCTGGCCAAAATTCAAACCAGGGACCCCCCATGCTATAAGGCAGAAGCACTAACCACTACACCACTGTGCTGCCCACTATATCTATATAGGAGCAGCATTGTCACCCTAGGTTGCTCTGATTTGGACTGCAAACACCTCTTCCTTCATAAGGAGGAGCAGAAGGGTTTTGAAGTCCCAATGCAATAGTCCCAATGTTCCGGATAACATTGTTTGAGACAACACTGCAGAGTGCACAGGACCCAGGACAGCACTGGATTTCTAGCAAAATGTATTGCACATATCAAACAGCTATATCAAAACACTTTTGATTAGGGATGCACAATTACCGATACAGTATTGGTGCCGATACTGAGTATTTGGGCCAGTACTCATACTCACCCAAATGCTCCGATATCTTCACCGATACCGGAACTTCCAGTCAGAGGGAGATTTCTTTTGACTGGCAGTGCTGCGAGGAAACATGGAGCCGGCTTCCTGGCCAATTATGGGTAATGACTCCCAACCAGGCTTCCTGATTGGCCGAGAAGTCGGCTCCATGCTGTTTGGATGGCTCGATGCTGATTGGCTAGGACGCCGGCTTCCCGGCCAATCATCATTGAGACAGCCAGACAGCATGGAGCCGGCTTCCCAGGCAGTCAAGAAGCCGGGCAGCGGGTAATGACATGCTGACCGGCTTCCTGATTGCCCGGGAAGCCGGCTCCATGCTGCCGGAAGTACTGGTATCAGTACTCGGTATCGGCCAGTACTGATATATAAATATTTAAAAATAAAATCCGTATCGGTGCATCCCTACTTTTAATTATATAGTTAAAGTAGAGATGACCAAAAAGCAGCAAATGTAATGGGTTCATTGTTAAGATTTACATACACTTTAATCTAATCAAACTAATCTATCCATTGGAGAATCTCCTGCAGCAGCCCTGGAGGTCACTTTCGGCACTTTTTTCAGTGTCTGCTGTAGTCCTGCAGTTCTATGCTATTATGGGAGGTGCCTTCTATATATGAGACGATAAACTGGTGCTAAGACACCCCCTGCTGGTCACAGGTGGAGATGCATCATTATAAAACTTCCATGATCAGCTCTTAAGGTGCCCATACACGAGAATCGGGCGAAATCCCGCGATCGTACGAGAATCGAGCAGTGTGAACTAAGACGTGCGACCGTTTCTACTGTACGGTCGCACGTCTTTTGTCGAGCCAAAATGTTCGAAAACCCGCCGAGAATCGTACGATTCTCGGCGGGTTTCTAGCCTGCTCGCCCGATAGCTGCGGAACGGGCCGGTGTGCGCACGCGCACACTGCCCGTTCTGCATTGCCGTCATCGGAAGCCCGCCCCTCAGCGGGGCGGGCTTTCGATGATCGCAAGTACGATCTGCCCGTCCAAGGTGGGCAGATCGTACGGGCTTTTAAGAAGCATACGACCATCGCAAGACAAAAGTCTTGCGATGGTCGTAAGGTGTATGGGCACCTTTAGGCACAGCGGGTATTACAATGGTGAGGTGTCTGATTCTGAAATAAATCTCCTGTCTGTTCTCTTATTAATTTAAAAAGAAAATGTTTTATCTTGTCAACATGTACTTCATTAAATGTTATTGAAATGGTGTTGTAGTATTTATTTTTGCATCGGGTGGTTTCAAAGACATTTTGTCTATATTTTAGACTTAGGTGTCTAGGAACCACAAGGGGTGAAGGGGGTTCTTCTCAGTAAGATCAGTTAGGGTCTGGAACTCACTGCCACAGGCGGTGATTTCAGCAAAAAACGTGGAATTGTTCAAGAAACTTTTGGATGATTTTTTAAGGGACCGTAATATACAGGGGTACAGGTAATAATACAGGGGTACAGGTAACATACAGGGGTACAGGTAATATACAGGGGTACAGGTAACATACAGGGGTACAGGTAATATACAGGGGTACGGGTAATATACAGGGGTACGGGTAATATACAGGGGTACGGGTAATATACAGGGGTACGGGTAATATACAGGGGTACGGGTAATATACAGGGGTACGGGTAATATACAGGGGTACGGGTAATATACAGGGGTACGGGTAATATACAGGGGTACGGGTAATATACAGGGGTACGGGTAATATACAGGGGTACAGGTAATATACAGGGGTACAGGTACTCCTAGAATGAGATCCTAATAGGTTGGACTTGATGGACTAATGTCTTTATTCAACCTCAAATACTATGTAACTATGTAACCACTTGCCGTCCTGAGCAATATCTTACTATTTGCGCACACATGATAAAATCTGACTTTATGGCTATACAACAGCTTCAAACCCCCAAACAATGATATATGTTCTGAAAGCGGAGGTCCTGTAGAACAAAAGGATGCTAGTTGCATTCAGATGCACAAGAAGAGTCTTTTTGATTTTGGCAGGGCCGGTGCTGCTACTAGGCAAACTAGGCAGCTGCCTAGGGCGCACTGCTGCCTAGGGTGCAGCCTCGACCACTCCCCCCCCCCCCCCCAAAAAGCCAATGGCAGGCTGGCTATTGCGCCCACTCAATGAGCAGAGGAGCGGAACTGAGAGACAACTTTTTCTCTAAGGTCCCCTACTCTGCTCAGTGGGTGGGGTTTTAATAGCCAGTCTGCTATTGGCTATTTCAAATTAAAATAGCCAATAGAAGTCCGGCTGCTTACACCCACCTGTCACCTGCGGAAGCTAGCCTGCAGGAGAATGGAGCCGCGTGCGGGGAGGGATTGGGGGTTGCGCTGCGGGAGGGGAGCTGGGGGGTGCAAGTAGCTGGTCTTGCCTAGGGCATAGTCTAGCACTGGCCCTGGATCTTGGCATCATTACTCACAGCTCAGAGAGAGTTCGTCAGGGGGCCCCTATCACATTTTTGTTTTGGGGCCCCATGATCTGTAGTCATGACCCTGATATAGGGTGGCAACTCTAAAGGTGCCCATACACTGTACGATTCTCGTACGAGAATGGCGGAAAATCCAGCGATCGTACGAGAATCGTGCAGTGTATGGAAGGCGTGCGACCGTTTCTACTGTACGGTCGCACGTCTTTTGTCTAAGAAGCATGTTCGAAAACCAGCCGAAAATCGTACGATTGTCGGCGGGTTTCTAGCTTGCTCGTTCGATAGCTGTGGAACGGGCCGGTGTGCGCACGCGCACACTGCCTGTTCTGCATTGCGGTCATCGGACGCCCGCCCCTCAGCGTGGCGGGCTTTCGATGATCGCAAGTACGATCTGCCCGTCCAAGGTGGGCAGATCGTACGAGCTTTCAATAAGCATACGACAAAAGTCTTGCGATGGTCGTAAGGTGTATGGGCACCTTAAGAGGAGGACATTGTTAAGGCTTAGCCCTGCTGCTTCCTCTCCACAGCCCTGCATTAGGGGCCAGCTCCGTTGAATCCGGGTGAATCCCAGACAGGTGGCAACCCTACCCTACACTTTTCTGCATTTCAGGGGCCGTTAGGGCCACACAAACCATAAAAACTGTGTTTTCACCCAGAATTTGCCTTTAAAACTCCATCAGATAGATGACTGCAACCTGCAGTTTTACTTTAGAGGAGAACTATGGGGTCAGTGCTTTTCCCCATAGTTCTCCTTAGGGTCACGGGAGGACACAAACTAGCGTTATTCTGACTCCGATTGTTGT